CTCTGAAATTTGTTTCCCTTTTTAATTAAATAAATCCCATGTTTGTTGGTTTTTAGGGTGGGCTGCAAGGCCCATCTGTTTAACTAGGCATTTTCCTGATCCTGCAGGGGAAAGATTGGCAAGTGTAAGTGTGAATTTGAATACCAGATTCAGGCTATTTAAAGCTAAATTTATCTTTATTAAATTCACCCAGAGGTGTTCAGCAATAGGTAGTTTGGAAAATGATCATAATTTGTTCAGAAGAGTATGTTTTTAAAGGACTGCTGCTAAGTGATTGTGGGAAGAAATAGACTCGGGGAAGTTCATCTCTGATCACTCTTCTGTTCCTTCAGGATTCACCATGAAGGAGGACAGAGTACTTCAGTAATTGTGATCTGCCTGAAGGCAAAATGGTCTTCCATTTCAAATGGTATCGTACTAACTTGAGAGCAAATAATACATAAATATTTTGTAGATAGTATATGTGTTAAAGCAGTCGGCATTTAGGACCGAGGGTTGTCAATCTTTGAGGTCTCTAAAAGGAATTGCAATTTATGACGTGTTAGGGTAAACAGTTGGATTACATTTCTGAAATACGTGTTCCATCAGGTAAAATCATTGTGATTACAGGCACTGGAACTGTAAGTAAGTTATGTGCTAAAAGGTTGAAAATGTAAAACAAGTATGCTTGTGCTTAGCTACTAATCCCCCTTTGTATCTCTGCTGAATAGACTACAAGAAAAGAGGGACAGAAAAGAATGTTTAAATAATACAACCGAAAAAGTATATTATGTCATTTTGATAAATAATAAGCATTGGTACAGCTTGAGGAGCTATTCCATCATTGGTCCAGACATGAGAGAATATTCCAGAATTCAAAGAATTATGAGAGGTTATGAAGAAGTTATTTTAGTTAAAAGTTTTGCTTCTTTTGTTTTTTGGTCTTTTTTCCTAATATCTCCTTTATTTTCTGATGTGTCCTGTAAAAACATATATTGTCTTCTTAACACCCAGTCTCCATTGTTCAGAAACATGTTGCAAATAAAAGCAAAAGAATAGAATGGTTTTAAGAGTTTTGCATATGTTCGACAGCAGAAGGTAATAAATGTAAATAAATCTTTAATATTTCCCCTAATTCAGTTTGTGCCATGCAAATGTCAGGACTAGAAAAACAAATCAACAAACATTTCAAGGAAAACAATATACGTAACTTATTTTATATATTAAAAACAACTGTCAAACAATTATGACCTCATGTATTAGTTGGTTGTTTTGAAATATTCCTACTAGAATTAAAATATGCCATGAGGCCCTTTGAGCTTAAACATATTGTGTCAATCAAGAGCACATGTAATATATCTAAAGCATGAGGTAAAAATGTTCTTCATAAATTATTTCATAAATAAATAAGTAATTTGCTTGAAAAAGTTTACAAAAATATTTGCTTTTATTAAGTTCCCTACAGATCTTCTGCAGTTAATGTAAATGAATTGATACAGACAGCAGTTTGATCTACCCTCCTCTAAGTTGAAATACAAAAAGGAGCATGAAGGGATTCTTCATTTCTCAGGCAAATTTGAGAAAGATTGAGTCCGTGAAACTTCATTCATTAAATTTTTAAGTGACCATGAATTTGTTGGCTTCAGTACCTGAAGTGTAACTTTATCCTTTCAATTAAGGGACATAATTCACCCTGAGACCTTTGCCTTTAATTTTTCATATAATATATAATTTTGGGTACACTTAATGGTCAAATTTTGTATTATTACAGGTGGAAAAACATCAGCCATCTCAAGGGTTTTGTGCTTGCAAAAGCATATAATTTAATTTTTTTGAACCAATTTAATCAATGATTGTTTCATGTGAATAAATCTACACTCCTGATGATTGCCTCAGATTTGAGGGTGACGGAGAGGAGGATCACTTCCCCTTTTAAAATGTCATTTAAATCTTGGGGAGCAGGAGGAGATTAGGGGACTAATCCTAGTGATAAATTGTACTATTTAACTCTGCTAAGATGCTATAACCTCAGATTTTTATCAGTTAGATATAAGCTTCAGCAGTTTTAGGTGGTATTAACCCTTTAAATACAAACAGCCTTACTATTCGGCTACATATTTCAAAATTTATTTGATCTAATATTTTAGTTCGTCATGGTCAAAGAATGTTTCACTCAGATCCTTACTTTTTTTTCTTAATAAAAATGCTTCTCACTGTGCCGTGCATATTTCCATAAAAGTCGGCAAGTTAATTTATGGCTTAAAAAAAGAAAATAAAAGGTCTATATTTAATATATGAATACTTTTTACAGTGGAAATTGGTGGTGGACAGTATTAAATGACTCCAGTGTGGAAATATGCAGGTGGTCATTAGTAGCTGACTATGAGATTTACTGAAGATTTTGATATTAATTTTCCCAGCATGCAGGACTATATATAAATCTAACTCTGTTTCCAAATTAATTTAAATTGATGATAACGTATGAATAACTCCATGCATATGAGGTTCATTGTCTTCTTCCTCCTTTAGGGAATATATTGTTTGCCTCATTGTGAAACTGTATTTTGACTACTATTTTCACCTGACTGGTTTCTCTATTGCAAAATAATTATTGTTTTTCCACTCATAGAGTGTATGGGACACGGTACCAAAAGACTTCTGGAATAAATGTGCCACAAAAATAAATCACACATCTGCTTGACTAGGTATGTTAAATAGAAATAAAAAGCACTTAGAAAAAAGGAGCAAGCTTCTAAAAGCACCTACTTCAGTTTTACTTTTTTATATATGATTGGCTTTTTCACCTCTGATAATAGTATATTTGGAAACTATGCCCATCTTTCCTCTAAAAAGATGCAAGAATCATTTAGTGAAAAATATTTTGGAGGAAATTACTTCATCATGATTGTACCTCTCTAAAATTCTAATTTTAATCATTTTGGAGTTTGGAAAAGGAAAGATGTTTCTCCTTTTAGCACAAAATTAGTTTAAACTGACTTTCACCAGAGGAAAAACATGCCACTTAAAGTCACCCAACTGAAGAAAATGAAGTCCAAACGCCCAAGAAATGTTTACTTAGTTTTTAACACCTACTATACTTTGAATCCTGTCATGGTAATGTTTTATGCATTGTTGATCTTTAGAAGTCAAAAAAAAAAAAAAAAAAAACAAAAAAAAACACCAAAAAAAAAAAAAAAAAAAGAAAAAAGAAAAAAACCCCAGCAACAAAACGCTCAATTCAGTGAACTTTACCGTTGAGGCAATTTCTTTTCACAATGGGAGTCTATGGAGAGGTGAAGAAGGAAAAAGAAATGTTAGGCTCAATGCAGTGTTCCCTGTCTGCTACCCAAACCCCAGAGAGCAGCATGTATCCACCTGGCAGCATTTGAATAATGTCCCCATTTTGGTTTATTTTGTGGTACCCCCTTAAAGCACCCATTGAGCGTCTGGCTTCTCCTGAGCTCAGAAAACCATAGCAACCTCCGTCCGCAGTTCTCCAACTCGGGATAGAGTTCAAGTTGTTCTCCTGGAGACCTCATGCCTAGGAGCAGGGGAAGCCCTGACCACCGACTAGGTGTCCTAAGACGTCTCGCCTCAGATACGGGGCGGGGGGCGGGGTGGGGGAAGGGGGCGCCCAGGCACACACACATCCCAAGTCCTTCAACTGGGAGGGAGAAGGAAAGTCACAGCCCAGAAGGTACAGGCACTTTTCGAGTTCTCTGGACTGCTCGTGACAGCATCTGAGTGTCTGGGGGGCCACCGCTCTGGCCTCCGCGCACTGTGCCCCACCTGCGCCCCGATTCCCCGAGGTAAGTCCGGGTCTCCACCGCGGGG